TTTTAATAACATTTGCAGTTCAATAACTTGTTGCTTTGAATTGTGCCCTTATCATTTCGTAGTCTTTGCTGAGTGCGCAACCATAATTCAGGGTTATTGGTCAGTTCTTTCAAACGAAATTTGCTAAAAAACAATAAGTATTTTTTTTATTGCTTTGGGCGAAAAATTATTGGTCCCTTATCGTCTAGCAAATGACTTTTGAGAGAATTAGTCATTTGACCACATGGAATATTTAACTTTTCTATTAAAAGTTAAAAATGTGCTGCATACTTTTAAGCGGCGCATGTAAATATTGAATGGCGCTTAAAAGTAGGCAGTGCATTTTTATCTGACTGTTAAGTTTCATTTTCCGCTTTTACTCTAAGCCTTAAGCCGTAATACAATTCTAAAATGCATAATATATTTAAAAAAAAAAAATGCATAATATTTTATTTTCATTAAAAAACGGCGCAGCGAACATAAAGCAGAGGGCAACGAAAAACAAAATGCGATAAACTTGGCGTTGACCATACAATAAATGTGCATTAAATGCAATCGCCTTTTGTGTATGTATATATATATATATATATACATATATAGATGTGTGTGTATGCCTGTCTAGTTGTTGCGATTTTTGCGCAATATTCTCTGGCAAAGTTCAATCGATCATTGCTGTCGATATTTAGCTGGCGATAGCGCCAAAATTATGGCAAGCACTTTGTTAAATGTTGCGCACGACGACGACGCTGGGAGCTCGATTTTATTGTTGTTTCTTTTCTTCTGGCTTATTTAGTTTTTTTTTTGTTTTTTTTTTGTCTGTCTGCTAATCATGGCGACTGCATCGCATTGCGACTGTCTCGCAAATTGAATTGTCTTGGAGTTGGCGTAGTTTTGTTTTCCTTTCGGGCAGCGGGGCGCATGAGTGATTTATTTCGCATACGCCGCGTGTGCGCAATCGAGTTGGCAGTTAATTTGAAAATAATACGCTAGCCGTCCGTAGTTATTTTGCTGCACTGTGAATGTATGCCAGCCAAATTGCCACGGAAAATTAATTCAAATCGTTGGGCCTGGGCAGCAGGCGATAATTAGCGCCTGTCCAGAACACTTGGCAGACCAAAACCGAACCAACAATAAAGCAAAGCCGAAAAGATATCAAGAAAAGCCATGCCAGAGCCAAGTAAAGCAACAAGAATTGACACACCTTCAAGCAGGCTAACTCCAAGTGGCCGTAGGTGCTATTTTTTTGTTTGTGGCCAATTAATGACAGAAAAAAATACGAGCTGGCAGCCAAATGCACTGATTACTCGATGAGTGTGTGTGTGTGTGTGTGTGAGTGTGGACATGTGTGTGCTTGTGCAGGTCAGTGTTGCTTGACGCCTTACGTAAAGAGTTGAAACAGATGACGCCCAAAACAAAAATGATTTACAGGACTTCACAGCAAATAATTATGCTCCAGTTGGGCATGCACGACTAAGAGATACCTGGATATATTTCTTAGCTAAAGCAGATAATATTTGCTCATAGAAAACCGCTACAGAACTTTATTTTAGAATTAAAGAGAGAGAAAAGGCTAGAACAGTCTCGCATAAGTGAAAGATGGCCAATTGCACAGCTCTGACTGCAGGTTGGAATGTTGGCAACAACAAAGTTGCAAGGAAATGCGCCTGCCTGGCTGCCCTTTGCTCCAATTTCTGCACTCTGAGGCGAAGGCGAACAAAACTTTCAAAATGCAAATGAGGCACGATTGAAACGGCATTTGAACTCCTCGTTTAGCGGGATATAAACAACACGGCAACACACATAAGACAAGCCCAGCTAAATAAAAGACTTGCCACAAATTGTGTCAATATTTGTCTCGTGCTGGATGTGCTGCAACAAATCGTGCCGCAAAGGTCTGCCACGGTGTCAGAGCCACCACACAAAGCAAAAGCAAAACCAAAAGCAAAAACAACAAAAACAACAAAAAACACCGAAAACTAAATACATGACAGGCCACCAAAATTATTGAGCTTGCAACAACAACAACAACAACGGCAACAACATCTTGTTGCTGCTCCATTTGGTGGCTGGTTATCTAATGCCCGCACCCAGCCATCTAATACAGTGGGTGCAAAAAATATTATTATACTACGCGCCTCGCTAATGAACCCAAAACCAAATTTGTTCATCTATCAATGTCAAATGCCCGCAACAGAATGGACCTTTTGTGCATATATCTATGCCTCTATATATTTAGATATTTGTATCTGCCCATAGATTGTATTGTAACAGGGGTAGCCCCTTACCAGATAAATTTCGATATTTCGATTATGTTTGGATTTTTTACGTTTTCAATTCGTTTTGCTTTTATAATCACAAACAGAACAAAGAACTTATTCAACAGGCACACACACACACACACACACACACTTATACACAGACACCTACTCTTTGATACCGACACATGCCACAGGAGCTGCAACATAAATTGTTGACACATTTTGTTGCCGCCGCCGCCGCCGCTGTTGTTGTTGTTGCTGCTCAGGTGCGCCCGTTTGACTTTTTTCTATATACCCTGTACAGCATGGAATATAGTTAGAGTAGAGTATATTCTTTCTATTTGAATGTATGGCCTAGTGGAAGTAGTTGGAGGCTGAGATCTTGATCAGTTTAATATCACAGAGTCAATATGGAAGGGTTTTATGCTGGATAGTATAGCAAGTCTTCTTTAAGAACTATCTTGAAGTTTCCTTTATATGGGAATTAGAAAAAGCCTTCTTTAAGAATACATTTGATATGTTCCTAGGCATATGGCTTGATAAGGCCTTCTATGGGATTTATTTAGAATTTAATTGAAATGAACCCTAAGTAATAATGTTCAGAAAATATATTTTCAGATCGAATAACCCAGAAACCCAGAAACCCTCTTTTAATGGGTTTACGGAACAAGAAAAATAAATTTGAAGCAAGCAAAGTAACTCTAAATACATACATAAATATATATTTACATACATTATATCTTATATATAAATAACCTATTCCTATCTTATCATATATATAATAATATCCTATTTATGTATATTTATTCTATTTACATATGCATATTTATATACATCTATACATTTGTATGCATATATACATATATAGATATATGTAACTAATATATATATATATCATATGCTCACCCAATATTTTGGATGGCAATGTGAGCTCAAGGTATACCCTAGTCAGGCATACCCGCCTAGAGCACTCCTAATTGTGTGTGATTTTTGTAAAACAATTTTTTAACGATTTTTAAGTTGTTTTTTTTTTTTTTTTTTGGCGTTTTGGTTTTCTGGAATATTGGGTCACCCACAATGGACACTAAAAAGCGAAAGTGAACAGTCGATTGGCTTGATTCGCTTGATTTGCTTGATTTATGCTACACAGTGCAGTCTATATATGTGTATGTGTGTGTCTGTGTGTGTTTCATAATCCAATTAGACGCTAGGCACAGGCACAGCTCACAGCTGCTCAGTGAACATTAGACGACAGCTGATTGACGGGCCAAAGGAAGCGGCTTATTAGCCAAAAAGTCAATGAAGCTTGTGGCTCAGTGGTTCGGTGGCTCGATGGCTCGGTGATTCAGTGGCTACTGTGCTACACGCACCGCATTCAAATACCAACAACCACAAAAGTTAATTGGATTCGATAAGGTCAAGAACAATGAGCGAGGCGCGTCATGGTTAAACACAAAATGCGATTTTCGACTCTAAATCCACAAATGCCAAATCTGTTTATGTATGTGTATATGTGTATATGTATGCGTGCTTTATATAGAGCAAAAACTCAAGGCTGGAATGCGAGCCTAAGCTATTTGCTTATTATTGGAGCAGTTGGTAGCAAATGACTTCCAATTCCACGCACAATAAAACCCAAATTTAATTGAAGCTGAAGCAACAAATCGTTTTCAAATGCCAAATGACATTAGCTGAAATTTTCAAATGCCAAATGACATTAGCTGAAATTAAGCGAGCTGACAAGAGGCGGAAGATTTTGATAAAGAATTCAACCTTTGATGAAGAATTGAAATTAAGTAGAGCTGCTGCATTGTAGATAGCTTTGAGTTACAGTTGTGTAAAATTTGTAAGTCTGAATAAGAGATTTTGCTTTTTTGGATTGCAAAGTTCTTAAATTAATCAGATATAATGATGATTATTAATATTTCTATGAATTCTATGATCTATAAAATTTACTGATTATAGTTCTGTTGGTATTTTGTTCAATATGCAACTATAAGGAAGATTTTATAGTGTTGTGATATGAGAAAGCTTTCAAAGATGTTGCAATGATTCACAGTATAAAGTTTTTAAAGCAGGATATTGCATTCGCATACAGATTTGGTTGATTATAGTTTTTCAAAACAGCCAAGCGAATGCTACAAGGATAAGTCTTCATGTGCTTCTGCAAAGCTTTTCAAAAAAGTTTCCTGATTTTTTTAAAATATTAAGTTTGTGTCACTTCAAGTCTAAATAAGTTTACGTGATTTACAAATGCATGTTTGCTGTGCTAAGCTTCCAATTTGCTACGAAATTCGCGCAGAAGCTTTAGTAGCTTAAATTCAGTCTTGAATATAAACTGAAAGCATTCTGCTTTTAGTTTAAGATAAAGCTCAGGCAATGGCTTTAATGAGCTTTCAATGTGTATCAAAGGGGATTAGCTTGAAGAGCATTTCAAATGGGTTTTTAAGAAGCTTTAAGTGAGCTTTAAGCTAAATGTGTGCTAGATATGTATAGCAAATATACAAGAGCTCATCAAACATATTCCACTAAATTTGCCCGCCCCTCATATGGTTAACAGTTGAGTGCTTGACCCAACCTAAGCTTGCTCAAACTCATCCAACATACACATTTTCCCGCTAGTTTTTCAAATCGAAAATCCCGCCAACACTTGAGCAGTCCGCAAATTAAATCATAAATAAAATAGTATAATCTAAGGAAGAGGCATAAGCAGGGTGGGTAAACGGGTCGTATGATTGATGCACAGAGCTGTGCTGCACTCACCGCTTGTGCTGATTGCTCTCCAGATTGCTGGCTATCACGCTGTCAGCGGCGTGGCACGGCGTGGGCCGAGCGCGCGGCAGCAGCGGAGGCGGCGCCGGCTGTGCCCCGGCGCTCTCCAGGACGGGCGGCGGATTGTTGTGCGGCCGCTTGCGGCTGTTTGTTGTGGGCAGATTTGTGGGCTTGACGGCGCCATTGGACAGCGACTGCTGTGGCAGCTGTCAAAGAGATAGAGAGAGACAGAGAGAGAGAGAGAGAGAAGAGTTGAGAGTAGTTCACATATGTGAGATTTACTTTTATTTTTTAATTTTAATTTTATTTTTTTTGGAGACTCACCTGCCGCAAGCTCGTTGGCTTTTTGGGCACCTGCGGCGGCACCTTCGGCGCCAGCGTGGGCTTCGCTGTGGCTGCGCCCGCAAAGCTGTTGCGACGATTCGGCGATGGCGGCGGCCGCTGCTGCAGCACTTCCGGCGGCGGTGGTGGGGGCAGCGGCTCATCGAACGTATAGCTCGTATCCAGCTCGGCGCCCAGCGGCGGGGGCGGCAGCTCCGGCGAGGGCACACGCAAATGGGGCTGCTTGGGCGGACGTTCGGGCGGCCGCTCATACACATGCTGCACCGGACGATGATGAAGCTGCGGCTGATGTGGATGATGTGAGTGATGTGGCTGATGCGACTGATGCTGTTGCGGATGCTGTTGCGGATGATGTTGCTGATGGGCCAGCGCCGCTGCCTGCTGCAGCAGCAATTTCTCTCGCATTGGCGCATATTCCGTGGCCGAGGAGGTGCGTCGCGTGGGCATGGCAATGCGAGCGCGCGGCGGTGGCGGCGGTGGCGGCATGCCACAATCATTGAAGGACAGTTTCTCAGCGCTGCTTATGTTCCGTATGCTCGGCGGCTTCAGCTGCTGCGGCTGCGGCTGCGGCTCACGAAAGTCCGCATAGTCCGAGGCGGAGCTGGAGCGACGCAGCAGATTGGGCAGCAGCGAGCGGGAGCGAGGCGGCGGCGGCGGCGGTGTGGGTGAACTGCAGCCAGAGTTGGAGTTGGAGTTCGAGTTGGAATTAGAGTTCGAGTTGGAGTTCGAATTGGAGTTGGAGTTGGTGCTGGGCAAGCCCACCATCAATGGGCTCAGCTTGTTGGGCAGCGATTTGCGTTCGATCTGCTGCAGCGCCTGATACGAATGCGAGTGCGACTGAGAGCGCAGCAGCTGTTGCTCCTCCTTCTGCTGGCGCTCCACATAGGACTGCACGGCATTCTTCTGCAGCGCCTTGAGCGCGGGATTCGATAGCCGATGGGTTTTGCTTGGCTCCAGGTAGCCAAATTTCGGTGTCTCCAGCATTTGGCTCCGCTCAAAGTCGTTGATGCGCTCAGCCACCGAATGCCAGGCGGGCTGCACAGCCGACCCAGCGGGCGTTATCACAGGGTGTCTGTGGGAGAGAGGAGAAAAGAGAGTTGATTGAGTAAGGATCCGGAGAGACTTGCTGCTCCACACTCACTTGATGGACTTGTTTAGATTGGCGCTAAACTGCGGCTTCGGATGCTGCACATACTGCGAGCTGTTGCTCTGCAGCGGCTCGGTGTAGGTGCTGACGGGGAACAGGCGATGATTGCTGCGGTACGAGTCGTTGGCGGTGCTGGAAAAGGTTGGCGAGTGGCTGCTGCTGCTGTTGCTGTTGCTGCTCGAGATGGCCACATTGGGTGCACTGCAGCTGTGCAGCTCCAGTTTGCTGAGCTGCGGCTTGCTGGGCGGCGGCTGTGGCGCGATTGTGACCACTGCCTCGCTGCTCGATATGGTCACCGAAATGCTTGACTTGTGCAGCTGCAGGTCACCTGTCGACTGGGATTGGCCCAGGTGGGAGCGAGACTCTTGCGCTGCTGCTGCTGCTGCTGCTGCTCCTGCTGTTGTCTCCAGCTCGGGCAAGGAACTTTGTGCGCTCAACTTGTAATTGTTTGGCAAGTGTTGCTGCTGCTGCTGCTGGAAGCGATGCAGCGCCATGGATGTGTGCACCGGCGGATAGCTGGGACTGTGACGATGCTGGATGCGTGGCAGCGGCGGCATCACATCCTCTGAGATCGACTGGCTGGCGGGCAATGCAGCTGCCGTGGAAGCAGGAGCGGCAGCAGGAGCAGCAGCAGAAGTTGCTGTTGCTGTTGCTGCTGTTGATGTGGCCGCTGCTGCTGTTGGCTCGCTGTTGTCGTGCAGATAGAGCACGCTCTCGCTTTGATGCCGCTTGGGCGTCAGCACCCGGGAGCTGTGCACAATCAGCTGCGAGGAGGAAACTGCAATGGAAAACAGAACAAAGTCTGAATAAAGAGAACAAATTCAATAGCAACATTCGAATGAGCTAAAGGCTCTGTCCCTGTCCCTGTCTCTATCTCTGTCTCTATCTCTATCTCTGTCTCTGTCGCTGCTTTGCCTAGTAAAAGTGGGTCGTGGGGGCCAAGCCACAATTTGACCCAAGGTCGCAGCTGCCCCCCACTAATGTGAGTGGCCAACAGTCGCCAAAAATACAAAATACAACAAAATGGGCAGCAACTGGTTTCAGCAGACTTCTAAAAGTATTTAACAGCGCTGCTAATCGAAACAATTTAGATAAAGTCACGATCGTGACGTGTGGCGTGTGGCTGATATACAGATTAATAATAGGGGTACTCCAGCAGATAAATAGTGCCGAGTCCGACTTGATTAGCCATTGAAATGCATATTTCTATTAGACATATTTCTACATATATAACAGAGTTCAATTTGCATATAGGTATAGACAGTCAAAGTATTAATATTAGGGGTATGCTTGTAGAAAAAGAGGCTTATAGTAAGGAAATAAGTAAAGGCCATATTTACATTAGCGATATTATTAAATAGAGCTCAATTAGGGTCTACTGCAGGAATTGACAAGAAGATTGCTAAGATTAGGGGTATTCCTGCAGATAGAGAATGCTTATTCCGACTTGATTATCAATTGAAGTGCATATTTATATTAAGAATATTCGCATTTTGAATAGACAGTCAAAATATTACTATTATATAAATGAAGGTCTAGGCATAGAAGGTTCATTTGCAGCATATTGGGGGTATACCAGCATTAATTTAAATTTATTTCAAGCTTTCAATAAAACTGAATGAGTTGCAGAGCATTTACAGTCTATCAATTAGCAGGAATACCCATAATACATATGTATATATACATATATTTAAGCTGGCTCAACAACTGTTTATTTGTATTTTAATTGAATTTCACAGCCAATTCATTCAAGATTCCATTTCAATTAAAGCTCATTTCCTTTTTCAATAAAGCCTAATTAAAAGTCTTCCGCGATGAAATTAGATTTTTATTGAAAATAATATTTAAAATATGCTAAGTAAGTTAATTGAAATAAGTTTTTTATGATGGAGGAATGTCGCTAATGTAGACGAGAAGAACTATTTATTAATTATTTTAAAGAGCAGAGCTTAGAAAAAATTGCAATATAATTTTAAAGATTAAAATTCAAGAAAATTTGATTTCTTAGCTTACTTCAAATTGAATTCTCAGTTTGAGTTATTTCAGTTGGGAGATATTAAGTCCTATTATAACTCAACTAAGTTTTATATCTCTATAATACTTAATGACTAAAAACTAGATTTACGATCTCTCAAATGTTCAACTTGATTCCTTATCCCAAGCTCCCATCGATCCCTATATGATCTCTACTCCCCAGTTCAATTAGTTCTTCTATCTATTGCACTCACCCGATTCGGCAATGGCACTGTAGCCCGTCACATGGCTCGCCTCTGAAATGTCGCTCATTGAGCCAAGCCATTTCAGCGTTTCCGTTGAGGAGGTGCTCTCAGAGCTGTTGTTGTTGTTGTTATTGTTGTTGCTATTGGGACTGTGATGTTGGGAGCTGTTGCTACTGCCGTTGCCGTGGCTGTTGCATTGTCGATTGAGCAGCGGAATGGGCGAGGGAGCCACCGAATTGCTGCAAACAGAGCTGAGATCGTTCTCAGACCAATGATGCGACTGGCGCGAGAGCAGTTCGCTCTCCTGACGTAATCTGTAAAAAAGAGAGAAATATATTAAAATAGATACATACATATATGTATATAGAGTGAGAAGGTTTACTACTATATAGCAAATATGGCAAATCATTGCGTGCTGAGGCGTTGACTACATAAAATACAGAAATGAGTGAAATAAAAGTGATCTGGTCTAATGTGAATGACTAGAAAATACCCTATACAAAGAGGGAGAGAGAGAGAGAGATACAGACTGACAGACAGACAAATCAGAGTTAAAATAAAATATAAACTCGACTCATATCATATCACAATTAACTATATAAGTATTTACAGCCCATCTCTCCCTGCCACCTCTCACCCCCCATTTCCACACTATCCACTATACCCCACTTGGGCATTTTCTATAGCTATAACTAACTGCCGAAAGAAGCAGAAAATTGTGTCTGTCATGTTTTTTGGCGTTTCCTTCTACAATGGCCGGCACATGGAGGCCTCTACATATATAGCTGGGCATGACCGTAATTACTCGAATTTCAGCTTAGCCTTCAAAATCGCATTTCGATGGCGTTAGACAAGTCGAAAAAAATAAAATAAAATAATAAGAAATATAATAAAAAAAAATAGAGAAAAAAAAAACTCTCTTCAAAGCAAGTACAATAGAGCAATACGAGTCTGTTTACCAAGACCTTGAAAGTTAAGCTAGTTGGGTTTGTGTTGTTTTCTTCTTGTGCTTCTACTGGTCTTTTCATTTTTATTTTATTTTTATGGCTCATATGCGACGTTTGTTATTTGCTTTACCAAGAATCACATTTAATCACATTTTTATGTAGATCTACGTATGTGTGTGTGTGTGTGTGTGTGTGTGTCGTGTCTGTCTGTCTGGCAAATAGAATTCATAATTGTCGCTTTGAGCGAACATGTTTAGCAATTGCTTGAAGCACTCGACTCACTTGTCTAGGAACGGTGTTGCCGACGTGCTATCGGAGCTGGAGACGTAGCTGTGGTAGCCCTCGGACTGTGCATAGGACGCCTGCTTCTGATGATGGAACGTTGTCTGGTCATAGTAGGACGAGGCACGTATGTTGTATTCCTCCAGGCCGGCTTGCGTGAGGCCGCATTGATCCAAATGCTGCAGCGATTGCTGCTTGTGCTGCTGCAACTGTTGCTGCGTGGGTGGCAGCTGCATGTCATCCTGCAACAAGAGAGAGAGAGAGAGAGAGAGAAGAAGAAAGCAAATTTAGTTAAATGTTGAGTTGAGTTGAGTTGAGTTGTTGCTGCGGCTATCTGCTACGCTCTGGGCTGTCTGCTGTCTTCCATTAACTGTAACCAGCAATTGGCTTGCATAACGCTGCGTATACGTAATGCAAAAATAAACACACCAAATTTCACTGCAACTCTCAACAATTTAATCATTAGCTATGTCCACATCGTCCACAGCGGGTCAAAAGCCGAGCTCAGCTCTAAAAATCAGTTTGCAAAATTCCAAAAACAACAACAACAAGAAACCGCAAAAAAAAAAACCAAAAATCGAATATCCAAACATCATTTCAGCCTAATGTCTAAGGTTTTGTTTGTTCATTAGATAATTAAGTGAAAATTATTATTTTGTTGCACAGTGCAGCGATCGCTGGGCTGGATAAGCCCCCAGAAATCCGGCTATTGCCAATGGTAACAAAAATTTGCCAACAACAACAACAACAACAACAATAACAGCAGCGAATCATTTGAAGTGCAGCCAAACGAATTTTGTTTTGCAGATATTATGAAAAGAAAAGAGCGAAAACAACAACAACAACAACAAACTGGAGAAACAGCGAAAAAACTACAAAAATTACTCGTATATAATCGCAGCGCGAAATAAAACTGGACGCAGGCAGCTCAACAAATCAACAGGCAAACCAAACAGAGCGTCCATAATAAGCCGGATTAAGTAACTCGGCAAAGCACATCCAGGGCTGGACTCTACACTATCTGTGCCTCTGACGAGGGCTGCAATCGGAATTGAAAGTACTCTTTATAGCTGTGATTGGGCTTATATGACTCGCAGATAAGGCCATAAACTATGTTATAAAATGGTTTGTTTATGCTCTGTTTGAACAGCTGAAGTCGAGAGAGAGCGAGAGAGAGAGAGAGAGAGATTAATAATATTGGAGACTGAAAATTATTGTGAATACAACATTAGATGGTTAGCTGAGACAAGAATTCTGCTGGATATTATTATTGATTATTAATTATTATTTATTTTTGTATTATTTATGATTTACTCTTTATTATTTAGTATATTTTAAATATTTAGTTATTTAATATTATTATTTTTGTACATTTATTGTGTATAATTCATTATTTATTGTTTATTATTTCTTTATTTTATTATTATTTTTATTAATTATTATTTATTATTTTTCATTTTTTTATTTATAATTTATTATTTATTGTTTATTATTTATTATTTATTATTTATAATTTTTTATTTATTATTTATCATCTATTATTTATTATTTATTATTTTTATTTTTATTAATTATTCATTATTCATTATTCATTATACTCTTATCTAATTTATGTTAAATTCTTTAATTTTTGTAATGATAATATTATTAAATATTAATCATTATTCATTAATTATTACTCAAAATTCATTGTCTTATTATTTACTATTATTAATTATTATTCATTGCTTTTTACTTTTTTTACTTATTTATTTAATATATATTATAATTAATTACTTCTTTTCGATATTCATTAATCATTGATACACCGTTATAAAAATATTTTTTTTATGAATTATATACCATTTATTATTCACTAATATATGTGTCAATATTTTGTATTTTCTGTTTTATTTTACTTTATATTTTCTTAAAATTTATTTAAAATATGAACAAACGTTTGAAATATCTTTCGCTTCATTTGCATAAGACCTGCCTGGGAATCGAAGCCCCGAAGCTCTATTGCTAATGCAAATGCTGATCGCTGATGATTGGGCTACTGCGACAACTCATCTCATATTTAATTAATGTAATTTATATACAAAATAGTGTGACGCCTGCATGAGCAATGTAATACGAGGCGAGCAAATGATGATTATAGTAGTATTATTATTATTACCCAACCATTCATAACTCAAATGGCTCGCATAAAGCTTATTTAATAAATAAGAAATGCATTCCGCAGCAAAACACTCGAACACAAATCTCCGTCTCGCTGCCTTCGCTTGATTGTTATGCTAATAGTTCGTACGGCTCTTTGAGTGTTGTCAAATATGCAACAAAAGTGTTAACAATGCCATAAAAAAATTCAACTTATTTACACTTATCCAAATTATGTATGTATGTATGTACATAGAAATGATTTTTGAATAGCCATCGTGGTGTAAACGGGACTATCAGCATATTACGGCAGCCCTGGCTGACAACTAATGCTCAATCAAACACACGCGACGTATACTTAATATTTTCAATGCATAAACCAAACACTTATGCATATAATGTATAGACTCGATATATATATATATATTTATATATAGGCAACATTACGGCCAAGCCTCTGAGCCACTTGACTGACTTTGACGTCTGCGCTGACTGTGGGGTTCAGTGTGTGGTGCGACCGCAATCGCCGCCGCCGCCATCAACGTGGGCAGCTGTTGATTGTCTTTTTGACTTTGGCGCCACAGAATTGTTGCCAAATACACAACAACAATAATGAAACAACAATAATCATAATAATAATATGAAAATGCAGCCGCAGCAGCAACAGCAACAGCAGCAGCACCTAAAGAGAATCACATTTTGTGGGTCAACTACTTTGGGCTGATCGTAGATCGAAGAGGTTTGCCTGGCGGCGCATCGTTTTGCAGTTGGAGCCAAAGAATTTTAATGGTTTTCAAACGTTCCCAAGACCCAAAACTCACTCGCTCACTCAATCAGTCAAACATTTGCTCATTCGATCATTCCCTCACTTATATATATACGTACTTCGTGCTTGTCAGTTTCAGTTCGTTTTGCTTTATTTCTAACTATTTTTTGGGGTTTCTTTTTTTTTTCTTTTTGTTTTTTTTTTTTTTTTTTTTGCCCAATTGCCGTAATTATTTTGTCTCTCTAACACGAATTTAAATCAGCAACTGTCCCACGGGCCATTCGACTGGGGCCCTTTTACTTGATCTACACTATATATGGCCATACGGCTGGCAACTGACAGCACCACCATAATTATTCAGGCACACAGCTGCTCCACAAGCACTGCCAGCGCCGGATGAGCATCAACTTCAACTTTAACTTCAAGATACAGATACACAGTTACACAGACACAGACATAGATATAGATACAGACACAGATACAGCTACAGCTACAGCTACAGCTCGAGCTTCGGCTACATCTGTGCAGCTTAATAAATCAATGGCTGGTGGTGTGGCGCGTATTAAAAGTGGTGCAGTGGGTCAACAGCTGGACGCAGCTGCCAAGCACCGCTGGCCGCTAGCCCCGCTGGCCCCGCTGGCCCCACTTAATACTTCTTAATGGGGCTGCTGCCCATAGTCCACAAGATTTCAAGTCTTTGGCCTAAAGTTTCCATTTCCCTCGACGAAATTGTGCGCGTGTTAAATAAATCACTTGATGGAGTGCTAAGCAGGCGCCCTCAGGCTCTGGGAAAAACTATTGAAAGCACAACAACAACAGCAATTTCGCCGACTATTAAGTTCTAATAGGTGTGGCAAACGTTGCGTATGCGCTATAAAAATAGTCAAAAAGTCTTTAAAATTCTTTACCAAATTATCTAATTATCATTTATGTATCTTTGTTAGTCGGTTTTTTTTTCCTATTAACTTTTTCCCACGTTTGTATATTAATTGTCTATAACCGCGCGTAATACGTTGCGTATGCGTAATAAAAATATTTTAAATTCAGCTAAAGCTATTTAAAAATTGTAGTTCTCAGCTCTCTCAGCTTCGGCTCAATATTCAATTATTTTTTTAGAACAAAACCAAAGCTTGAGCGTTATTAAAAATTTATAACAATTAACAATTCGTTTGGCTTTCACTATTTGAAAAGCTAGATTAAAAAGAAAATCTAACAAAATTATTATGTGTGTGCATTTCACATTCAACTAAAGCGCATCTGAAGCAAATTGATAATTATGATTACGAAATGTTTGTTTGTTTTTGTTTTTGTAATTAAAAAATGAAGTTTGTTTTAATCGAAAAATATATAGCTTTTCACTCTCTCTCTATCTCTAGCTCTCTCTGGGTCTCTCTTTCTTTGTGTTTCTATCGCTTTCTCTCTCTCTCTCTGTGTGTGTCTCTCTCTCTCTCTCGCTTCCTATTTCTCCCTCTCTATCTCTCTCTGTGTCTCTAGCTCTGGTCTCTCTTCTGACTCTCTCTATGTCTCTCTCTCTTTCGGGTTCTATCTCTTTCTATATCCCTCTCTCTCACTCTCTATCATTCTCTCTCTCTCTCTATGTCCCTCGCCTTTCCCAAAATTCCGAACGCATTTTCCTGTTCTCACTCAATCACTTGTACCTGACAGCCAGTGTTGTTCAACGAATTTCTAATACTCTTCAGCTCTTAGTGTTCACTTCAACTTAAATTCTTAGCTTCTACTTCATTCTCTCCCTTTCTCCCTCTCTTAACTCTCTCGCACAGTTTCCATTCTAATATCACTTTCAACAGATGTCAGCAAGTGTCAGCTGTCATGTGCTTAATTATGCTCAGCTTCACTTTCAGCTAATGTCATTGAGCATTAATTGCCGCAAGCTTTTACTGCTACCTACTTCCAGTTCCAGTTACTTCAACTTCAACTTCATCTTCCTCTTCTTCTGCTTCATTATGCTAATGTCACTTTCGGTAAGCAACATTTCTAGCTACATCACTCTCTCTCTCTCTCTCTCTCCCTCGCTCTCTCTCGCTTCAAGCTGACAGCGCCTAGTTACAGCTCGTGTCATTGGGCAATGATGCGACTATAAGTTGACATTCAATAAATGAGCAACAAAAAATGAATAAAAACGCTAAGAACGTGTTTCATTTCGCTTGTCGAGGTGAAATTTCATTCATAATTCTTAAGCTACCAAAATGTGACAGCTCGAAATTCGCGTTAATCGTAAATGAATACATGAATCGCTCATTGCCAACACAACAACAACAACAACGAGAATAATTCAGACTTTTGGTATTTCGAAAAAAACAAAACCAAAACAAAATA